CCCTCCTGGGGTTTTTTTTTTTTTTTTGAGAGCTTTTGCTATAGGGCGCATTTGCTTGCTGGAAAGACAGAGAGAGACAGAAAGTGAGGGGGGATGGCCATGCCACAATCCTTTCTCCTCCATTCTCCTCTCGAGATCTTGGGCATGCACGCACACATGCCTGGTGTGTGTTTAAGAGTTTAAGCCACCAGATCTGGAACTCTAACCATGGTTGACTGTGTGGGAGTCCAGCAACGTAACCATTACACCATCTGCTGGTCCCTCCTCCTGGGATCTTAAACACGCTCACACAGCATCGGCTCCAGATTCACACCATAGTTGACCATGTGAGAGTCCAGTGATGTAACCTCTATACCACCTGCTGGCCCCACAATAAACGCTTTTTTTCTTGAGTTAATGCCTCCTGAGTCTTACTCCAGACGATGACACTCACCTTCATGGGCTTGTTTCACCTGTGAATCCGTCCTTCCTGTGTAACTACTGTGAGCAAATTGATCCCTTAATACCTTTTTTTAAAATAATTATTTATTTTTATTTTATTTGTTATCATTATTATTTTTAATTTGAACAGAGAAAGAGAGAGAGAAAGGGAAAGTGAGAAAGCAAGCTGCCAGTTTCAGCACTCTAACCATGGTTGGCCATGTAGGAGTCTAGCACCTTAACCACTGAATCACCTGCTGGCCCCATCCCTTAATAACTTAGGAATGATTGTCTCTTTGTTGGTGCTCACAGAAGCCTCTGCGAGGGAGCAGGGTAGGATGTTAATTAAATGTATTACAAGGCCACATTATGCTGTTATACAGTATATTCTTTTTTTTTCCTTTTTTTGGAGAGTTTTTTTTTGCTATAGGGCCCGTGCGTTCGGCAGACAGATAGAGAGAGACAGAGAGACAGAAGTGAGAAATCACCCCCCAGGGGGGATGGTCACGCCGTAATCCCTTCTCCATTCTCTTCTCAGGATCTTGGGCATGCATGCACACGCGCCCGGCGTGAGTTTAAGCCACCAGGTCCAGTACTCAAACCGCGGTCGACTACATGGGAGTCCAGCAACATAGCCATTACGCTAACTGCTGGTCCCTATACAGTATATTCTACTTCGTCTGTGAAATTAACCTTACCATGCTCACTATATAGGATAAATGTGTTCTATAGTAGGTAGAATGCCCTAAATTTGTTGTTCTATATAATTTAACCATAAACCTCCTCCCATTGTCTAGCCAATTTCTTGCTTCTTTAGACTTCAAGATAATTATGTATATCCCCAGTTACTCTTTTTTTTGGTAGAGGTTTTTGCTATAGGGCATGTGCGCTCGCCAGAAAGAGACAGACAGACAGACAGAATACGAGAACTCCTCTGCCTCCCCCCCCGGGGGGTCTGACCATGCCGCAATCCCTTCTCCTCCATTCTCCTCTCAGTATCTTGGGCACGCACTCACATGCTCCCGGATTGAGTTTAAGCCACCGGATCCGGGACTCAAACAGTGGACGACTACATGGGAGTTCAGCGACATAGCCGTTACTCTAACTGCTGTTCCTCCCAGTTACTCTTCTACTTACAGCCAGAAGGATACTCAGGTGTCTGATCGAGATCTAGTTTCCGTCTTTACTCTTAACAGTTGAGAGAGGCTCTTTCATTCCTTTAGCAACTGCACAGTTGGGTTACTCCAATGGAAAGTCCTATGTTCTGTATTTCCAAACTCTAGAGGATAAACAGGACACTTAAGAATATTTGGGGCTGGTCCTGTAGCACTCTGATTAAGCACTGTGTGTAGGAAGCTGGATCCTACTTGATTGACTGCTGACTGTCGTTGAAGTCCCAGTCTCAGGGGTTTAGAAAATGGTAGCTGTGTGCCCCAAATCCTGATGGGATGAAGAATTGGAGGAAACAGTTTGGGCCATGACCACACCCCACTGGGCATGTTCTCTCTCTCCTCTTCCTCTCTCCCCTTTTCTCTCACACATGCACCCTCCTGGGGGGGTTTGTTTAGAACAAGTTCCACATCCACAAAATTTCAAAGATCAATTTAATCTGCTCTTAGTATAGCAGTTTATAATGTAAGCACCAGTTTCAGTAACAGAAATGATGTTCGATGCATTCTCGTGGCCCACATTGATGTTGCCCACCCAAAGACATGGTATAATTTGAGAAAAGGGAATAGTTAGAGAAAGTGGAAGAAAGAAAAAAGGTTTACAGTTTCAGTCTTGCCTTGGTTTAGGAGATACACACATGTCCCTGCCCTATGTGGATCTGCCCAGGAACCAAACCCCAGTCTTTCCTATGGTTTCCAGCATTGCATAGTGTTGTACTACTACTATACTATTGCCCCTGGGTCTGACTTGCTTGCTTGCTTGCTTGCTTTTTTTTTTTTTTTAAATTCTATTTTTTGGATGTGCGGAAGTTCTTTATTTTAATATTGTCTAGTGTATTAATTTTTTTTTGTTTGTTTTTGTTTGCTATAGGGTGCTTGTGCTTCCCAGAGAGAGACAGAGAAAGTAAGAAATCCCCAGGGGAGTTGGCCACGCTGCAGTTTCTTCTCTGTTCTTTTAGGCTTTTGGGCATGCATGCATGCACTTGTCCCCAGCATGATTTTCAAGCCACTGGGACTCAAACTGTAGTCAGCCATATGAGATCAAGCACCTTAGCTTCCATGCCACCTGTTGGTCCCTAGTGTATTATTATTTTTTTTTTTTTGAGGAGTTATTTGATTTAGGGACCAGCAGTTGGCATAATGACTATGTCGCTGGACTCCCATGTAGTTGACCGTGGTTTGAGTCCCGGACCTGGTGGCTTAAACTCATGCCGGGTGCATGTGTATGCGTGCCCAAGATCCCAAGAGGAGAATGAAAGAGAAGGGATTGCAGCATGGCCATCCCCCCTAGGGGGCGATTTCTCGCTTTCTGTCTCTCTCTGTCTTTCTGGCAAGCACACGCACCCTATAGCAAAAACCTCTCCAAAAAATATTTTTTTAAAGAATGATTTGATTTAACTTTATTTATGTATGTATGTATTTATTTATTTTTATTTTGACCAGAGAGGGACAGAGTGAGAGAGAGAGGGAGAGAGAGAAAGAAATTGAGAAAGCAAGCCACTTGGTCCAGGACTCGAACTGTAGTTGGCCATGTGGGAGTCCAGCACCTTTAACCACCATGCTACCCACCAACCCCTAGTGTATTAATTTTTTAATGGTTGGGATTTTATCTCCTATTTTGACGTCATGACAATATTTTTTTAAAGAATTATTTATTTAATTCCATTTGTCATCATTATTATTTTTTAATTTGACCAGAGACAGAGAGAGAAAGAAAGGGCAAGTGAGCCATCAGGTCTGGGACTTGAACCGCGGTCGGCAATGTGGGAATCCAGCGCCTTTATCCCCCACAACACCTGCCAGCCCCATGACAGTATTCTTTTTTTTTTTTTGGAGAGGTTTTTGCTATAGGGCGCGTGCGCTCGCCAGACAGAGAGAGACATAGAGACAGAAAGTGAGAAATCACCCCCCAGGGGGATGGTCACGCTGCAATCCCTTCTCCTCCATTCTCCTCTCGGGATCTTGGGCATGCACGCACACGCGCCTGGCATGAGTTTTAAGCCACCGGGTCCGGGATGTGAACTGCGGTCGACTACGTGGGAGTCCAGCGACATAGCCATTACGCTAACTGCTGGTTCCCACAGTATTCTTTTTTTTTAAAAAAAACCTCTTCCCATTTTGATTATTTATTTATTTTATCAGAATCATTTATTTATTTATTTATTTTGCTGTTGGGCATATGCTCTCACTAGAGAGTGAGGATTCACCCCCAGGGAGTGTGGCCATGCCGAAATTCCTTCTCCTCCATTCTTCTCTTGGGATTTTGGGCATGCATGCATACTTGAACCAGCCATGTGAGATCCAGCTGCCTTAATTACCATGCCACTGACTGGCTCAGACTATTTGCTTTTATTTTGTTTATGGTTTTTTTTTAAATTTTTTTTTTATTTTTAAGAATTATTTATTATTATTTATACATTCAATTGCTATACATCATTCAGATTGTAGAGATTTTACCCAACATGGTAGATGGCACATACCAGGTGAGTTGAGAATACTGTACACGACATAAACAGTCAACAAACAATATCTCTGTCCCACGAATGTCTTATTTCTCCATTTTTCCCCAGATTTCCCTTCCTGTACTCTTCCCCTCTCTCAGTCTCCTTCCACTTTGTCCTCAGTGTCCATAACAATTTTCAATGCTTTTATGTCCTCTAGTCTTTCAGTTTCTACCACAGAGTATAAACAGTCGGTGTATGTTAAGTGGAGACATACTGTGTCTCTCTTTCATAGCCTGACTTATTTCATTCAACGGTATATCTTCATTGTTCATCCACTTTCTGTCAAATGCCAGTGTCTTGTTGTTTTTTATGGCTGAATAGTATTCCATAAAGTGTATGTGCCACACTTTTTTAATCCATTCATCTCTTTGTGGACATTTGGGTTGGTTTCATGTCTTAGCAATTGTGAATCACACTGCAATAAATATAGTTGTACAATCACTTTCTCACTGAGTGTTCTCCTATCCTTTGGGTAGATACCCAGGAGTGGAATTGCTGGATCACATGGTAGTGCTGTCTTTCAAGGTCTTGAGGAACCTCCATATTGTTCTCCACAGTGGCTGGGCCAATTTACATTCTCACCAACAATGTAGGAGGGTTCCCCTTTCACCACATCACTTATCTTTTTTTTTTAATCATTGGCATTCTGACTATGGTTAGGTGTAGTTTTGATTTGCATCTCCGGCGTGATGAGGGATGTTGAGCATTTTTTCATATGCTTCTTGGCTGCTTGTCCCATGATAGTATTCTTTTGAAAGTTTTAAAGGCTTATCTGTAAATCTTCATCAGAAATTGGTTTTTATGTATGGTGTAAGGAATCCAGTTTTTATTTAATTTGGCTAATCAGTTTTTGTAGTATCATTTATAATATATACCTAAAGACTTATTTATATTTGCAGTAACAAGAATAGAGGAGATAATCTGGTAAAATTTCTTTTATTGATCATGTACTATTTTTGTCTTACAGGTTCTCTTTGTAATTTTGAATAATCTTTTAGGAGGATAATGAAAGATTATGATGAACTTCTCAAATACTATGAATTATATGAAACTATTGGAACAGGTAATCATTTTTTTTTTTCTTGGAGGTAGAGGCTAGATTAACTATTTGAAAATAGAGTCTATTTGGACAGACATGAATTTTTTTAAATATCATTTTAAATAATTATCTTATTTATTATTATTTCTAGTTTGACCAGAGAGAGAGAGAAAGTGAGAAAGTAAGCCGTCAGGTGTGGGACTCGAACCATAGTTGGCCATGTGGGAGTCTAGCACCTTAGCCACCACACCACCTGCTGGCCCCCTATTAGTCTGTTCATTTTAGTGTTTTTAAAATTCTTTTTTTCTGCTTCAGTAGGAAGAAGTAAAGCCAGGAGAGAAGAGAGTAATAGGAGAGGCCTTGTAGGTCATGACTAGGACTTTGACTTTTATTTTAAATAATAGTCATTGCAAAGTTTGAGCCGAAGAGTGATCTGACTTTTCTTCACAGGGTCATTCTGGCTACTTGGGAGACAAAAGATTAGATTGGGGAGGGCAAGGACAGAAACAGGGATAGATTAAGAAGTTATAGCAGTAATTCAGGTGAGTGATACTAGAGATGATAGTGTAAAGATGAGGGTGATAGTGAAAGTAGTGAAAAGGATAGGAGTCTGTACATTCATGTGCACGCATGCACATGTCTATGTGTTTTTATTTATTGATCTATATAACACACAGTTAAATAGTCAAAGTGCACTAATTTCCACCAAGTTTTACATAACACCTACCCTCCCATATATTACCTGCTTAGATCAAGACAGACCATTTCTAGTCTGTACCTGTTTCGTTTCCCCCAAAGTAACCATTGATTATCATTAATTTTTTTCTGGAGAGGTTTTTGCTATAGGATACCCGCACTTGCCATAAAGATAGAGACAGACAGACAGAAAGTGAGAAATCACCCCCTGGGGGGATGCCATGCCGTAGTCCCTTCTCCATTCTCCTCTCGGGATCTTGGGCATGCATGCACACGCAGCTGGTGTGATTTTAAGCCACTGGGTCTGGGACTCGAACTGCAGTTGACTACATGGGAGTGCAGTGACATAGCCATTACGCCAACTTCTGGTCCCAAACCGTTGATTTTTTTTTTTTTTAAATAACGACATTTGTTGATGGGTTGAATATGGTTTTTTAAAGAGAAGGGCAAAGAATGGTTCCTTCAAGGGTTTTTGGCCTGAACACCTGGGAAAAAGGAATCATCCTTACTTGAAATGGGAAAGGAGCTTCTTTTTGAAAATTTGAATATTTCAGATACCTAATTGAAGGCATTCAGCTTTTGATCCCCCCCCTTTTTTTTTTTGGAGAAGTTTTTTTTGCTATAGAGCTTGTGTGCTCGCCAGACAGACAGAGACATAGAGACAGAAAGTGAGAAATCACCCCCCAGGGGAGATGGTCACGCCGCAGTCCCTTCTCCTCCATTCTCTTCTCGGGATCTTGGGCACACACACACACATGCCCGGCGTGAGTTTTAAGCCACCAGGTCTGGGATGCAAACCGCGGTCGACTATGTGGGAGTCCAGCGACATAGCCATTACGTTAACTGCCGGTTCCCTTGATCCACTTTTGAAAGATTATTTTATAGTTTTAAAACTGAATGGAGGTTTTGTATAGTCTGTCTTCCATCTCACAACTTTGTATTATGTTTTAACATTGTTAATTATAAAGTGAATTTAATTGCTTTGTTAATTGTATTCTATTTTCCTACTTCCTTATCACAAAATTAGAGATACACTGTCATAGTAGGAAAAGTCTTCAGCTTGATGTTGGGCGAGAAGAGGATAGGAGTCATAACTACACTTCTGTAGCAACAGGATAAAAGGCACAAACTTTTAGGAAAATATAACTCAACAGAGCCTTTTGAAAGTTTATGTTTGTGTCTGAATCCTTGCTTACGCCTTTATAATACATTTTTTTTTATCTTAGGTGGCTTTGCAAAGGTGAAACTTGCCTGCCATATCCTTACTGGAGAAATGGTAGCTATAAAAATCATGGATAAAACTGCACTAGGGGTAAGTTTAAATTTTTTTAAAATGTTCTAGTTATAGATCAGTTTTTTAAATTAAAACCCAAATTTGCCCTAGTGTTCTATTTATTGCTCTTAGAATAATAACTTTGTAGCTTTTTGGAAAATGTATTCATCTGTGATTTTAAAAAGTAATTGGGGGAAAGGGGTTACTTGGTCCTTTGGATTTTAATGCAGAGCAATGGTGCATACTTCAAATCTGTAGCCTTCATTTTCTTTTTAAAGAGTTATTTTATTTTATTTTATCTTCCTTCCTCCTTTCCTTTCCCTCCCTTCCTTCCTTCCTTCCTTCCTTCCTTTTAATTTGACCAGAGAAGGACAGAGAGAAAATGAGAAAGCAAGACTCCAGGTCTGGGATTCAAACCGCAGTTGGCCATGTGGGAGTCCCATGCCCCTAACCACCACACCACCTGCTGGCCCCAGTAGCATTCATTTTTCTATGATTGTTTCAAGTTTTCACACACATGTGTGTGCACGCAAAACACTCCAGTGTGGTGTGGTCATGTAACAATCCCCTCTCCATTTCTTTATCCCAATGGTATTTTGGGCACACACACACACGTGCCCAGTGTGTTTTTCAAGCCCCTAGGAGTGAGACTTGAACCCTGGTCTGCTGTGTGAAATCCATCTTCCTTTGTGTAATATCTAGTTGCTGTGCTACAGGGCTGGTCCTAGTGCAGCTTACTTTTTAAGGGGCATTGTTGAGACTGAAAGTGGTAATCCAGGTATGATAATTCAATGACTGTTTCTGGCATTTTCCTTATTTGGAATGTTCACCTTTTAATTTTTTTCCTTTTTCTTTTTTTTTTTTTTGGTAGAGGTTTTTGCTATAGGGTGCATGCGCTCGCAAGAGAGACAGAGACAGAGAGACAGAAAGCGAGAAATCACCCTTGGGGGGATGGCCAAGCTGCAATCCTTTCTCCTCTATTCTCCTTTCGGGATCTTGGGCATGCACGCACACGCACATGCACACGCACATGCACTCAGTGTGAGTTTAAGCCATCGGGTTCAGGACTCAAACCTGGTCGACTACAGGGGAGTCCAGTGACATAACCATTATGCCTACTGCTGGTTCCAGAATGCTCACCTTTTAAAGGAGTCTGAGATTGCTTTAATTTTTCTGGACATTGTCCTATTGACCCACTTTGAACTTGTCTGTCATAAAATCCTCAAGGCCTTTTTCTTTCTTTCTTTTTTTTTTTTTTTTGAGAGATTTTTGCTATAGGGCATGTGCGCTCGCCAGACAGACAGAGAGAGACATAGAGACAGAAAGTGAGAAATCACCCCCCAGGGGGGATGGTCATGCCGCAATCCCTTCTCCTCCATTCTCCTCTCGGGATTTTGGGCATGCACGCACACGCGCCCAGCATGAGTTTTAAGCCACTGGGTCCGGGACGCGAACTGCGGTCGACTACGTGGGAGCCCAGCGACATAGCCATTATGCTAACTGCTGGTTCCCAAGGCCTTTTTCTTATATATATATGCAAATAAATTTTTTTTTTCTTGTATTGCTGGATAAATTATTTTGAGGCTATTGATAACTTTTTCTACTTAGTATTAAAATTGTTGATATTGGGCCAGCTGGTTGTGTGGTAGTTAAAGTAACTGGATCCCACATAGCTGACTGCATGGTTCTAGTCCTGGACCTGGAGGCTTGAAAAACAGGTGCATGTGGGAACCAGCAGTTAGCGTAATGGCTATGTCGCTGGACTCCCACGTAGTCGACTGCGGTTTGCGTCTTGGACCCGGTGGCTTAAATCTCACACCGGGCGTGTGTGCGTGCATGCCCAAGATCCCGAGAGGAGAATGGAGGAGAAGGGATTGCGGCGTGACCATCCCCCCTGGGGGGTGATTTCTTGCTTTCTGTCTCTATGTCTCTCTCTGTCTGTCTGGCGAGCGCACGCGCCCTATAGCGAAAACCTCTCCAAAAAAAAAAAAAAAAAAACAGGTGCATGTGCCTGCCTGCCCAAAATTTTGAAAGAAGAAACGGATAAGGAATGATCATTGCCATAGGGAAGTTCTTTATTACTTTCTCCTCTTACTTTTCTCTGGTGAGTGTACGCATCCTCTTGCAAAATTTAAAAAAAGACAAAAATACTGTTGATATTAATGCTTAATGTTAATGAACACTTTCCAAATAAACTTACTGCTCATTCAATTTGATGTTTTGTCCAGAATGATTTGCCTCGGATCAAAACAGAGATTGATGCTTTGAAAAACCTCAGACATCAGCATATATGTCAACTCTACCACGTTCTAGAAACAACCAATAAGATATTCATGGTTCTTGAGGTTAGTATATATTCCAGAGACAGAAAAGCATTTGGGTACTTTTTCAGTTAAGTTAGGAGAAACTTACCTGAAAGTTTATTGTTACATATGCTAATTGGCTTTACCTGTTTCAGTTTGAGCTGTAACAATTTAGATCAAGTAGACATGAAATAAATTGGACATATATTGTGAATGTAGCCCTTTTAGTATAGCACCAATGAGGTAATTTGTTTTAGTGAGTAGCATATGTTAGAATTTGTTTCTAGAGGAAAGGAACCATTTAGATTTTATATGGCGTATTTAATTCATAGGCTTTTCATAACTAGTTAACATTAATTTGGTGACTTAAAATGACAGAATTTTATTGTCTTGTAGTTTTAGAGGCTCGAAATCTGAAATCAAGGTGTGGACAAGGTTGGTTCCTTCTGGACATTTTCAGGAAGGATCTGTTCCATGTCTGTTTCTCAGTTTCTGATGGTTGTTGCCAATCCTTGCTGTTCCAGATTTGTAGATGCACCACTTCAGTCTTGTTTTCAAGTGGTATTTTCCTCTGTGTGTCTTTGTCTCTCTCTAAATTTCCTTCTTTATAAAAGGACTGAAGTCATTGGATTAGAGACCACCCTAATCCAGTATGACCTCATCTTAATAATTTACATCTGTGAAAACCCTCTTTATATGTAGGGTCATGTTCATAGGTACCAGATGTTAGGACTTGAAATATCTTTTTTTTTTTTTTTCTTTTTTTTGGGGGGGAGAGATTTTCACTATAGGGCGCGTGCGCTCACCAGACAGACAGAGAGAGACATAGAGACAGAAAGCGAGAAATCAACCCCCCAGGGGGGATGGCCACGCCGCAATCCCTTCTCCATTCTCCTCTCGGGATCTTGGGCATGCACGCACATGCGCCCTGCGTGAGTTTTAAGCCACTGGGTCCGGGATGCTAACCGTGGTCGACTATGTGGGAGTCCAACAACATAGCCATTACGCTAACTGCTGGTTCCCAGGACTTGAAATATCTTTAGTCGGGACAGAATTCAATTCAGAACGTATGGTTAGTGTCCAGTACATGTGTTATGCCAACCAAACCTTTTCAAGTTTTAACCTGACCTTTTTGACTTGAAACAGTCTAACAGTCTTTAGAATTTAGATCATTCATCTTGCTTCAATTTTCTAAATCTCAGCCACATGATTTGTAACTGTACAGCATTTCACAGACTAGCATTTTTTTTAAAGAATTATTTTTACTTAAATTTATTTATTTATTTTTATTTTTATTTTAACAGAGAGGGACAGAGCAAGTGAGTGAGAGAGACAGAGACAGAGACAGAGAGAGAAAGAGAGAGGGAAACTGAGAAAGCAAGCTGCCGGGTCCAGGACTCAAACCATGGTCAGCCATGTGGGAGTCCAGCACCCTTAACCACCATGCCACCTGCCGGCCCCTTCACAGATTAGCGTTGTTTTAATAGCAATTTTAAGATTCATAATGTTGAAAGTTTTGACCCTGGAGCTATTTTCTCTGCTATAGAATGGATCTGCTCACATTGTCTGCAATGGTGACTTTTGAATCTTTTTTTTTAAAGCTGATCCTTTTGATCAGTTTAAATTCTTTTTTCTTTTCTTTTCTTTTTTTTTTTTTTTTGAGAGGTTTTTGCTATAGAGCACATGCACTCGTCAGAAAGACAGAGAGAGACAGAGATAGAAAGCAAGAAATCATCCCCATGGGCGGATGGCCACGCTGCAATCCCTTCTCCTCCATTCTCCTCTTGGGATCTTGGGCACGCACACACATGCGCCTGGCGTGAGTTTAAACCACTGGGTCTGGGACTTGAACTGTGGTCGACTACGTGGGAGTCCAGCGACATAGCCATTACGCTAACTGCTGGTTCCCAATCAGTTTACATTTTTAACAAACAAAAATTCCCAAACATCTATGAACCTAAGCTAAAATTTTAAAGGTATTAAGGTCATATATATATTTATTATATATATATATTATAGACCACAGATTAGTTTATTTTTAACACCCATCATGCCATGAATTCATAGGGAATAGGTTCCAGTAGCTCAGGCTCCTTTCCATTGGTTCTCACAAAGTGTGCTTCTCTGGGTGGAGCAAGCTGGCACTTTAGTTGAACCCAGGTACCTTTCTCTTTGGCTTCCTTCTTTTTCTGGTCATTTTCCTTCACACGTTTTAGGAAGCTATCTCTGCTCTTAGAATGTTTAATATGTTCAATATGTACATTGATTCTCTTGGCAAGAACCTTGCCCTTAACTTGTTTGTTTACAACAATGCCAACAGCATGCTGGGTAACATTGTAGACTCTTCCAGTTTGCCATGGTAACATTTGTAGGGCATTCCTTTTTGAACAGTACCCATTCCCTTAATGTCTACAATATCACCTTTCTTGTAGATTCGCATATATGTTGCCAAAGGAACAATTCCATGTTTTCTAAAAGGTCTAGAGAACATATATTGGGTGCCTCTCTTCTTTTCCTTTGGGTTTGTCATTTTGGTTAACTACTGGAAGATGGTGGTTCCGATTAAGGGCTTATGTTAACAAATGAAGTTCTCTCTCTCTCTATCCCGGTCATCTGATTTTCTTTCTTCCGAGTCATTTACTTGTTATTATTATTTTTTTTGTCTCCTATTATCTACATATAATTTTATAGGTGTATGTGTTTTATTTATTTATTTAAGAGAGGTTTTTGCTGTAGGGTGTGTGCGCTCACCAGAAAGACAGAGACAGAGAGACAAAAAGTGAGAAACCGTGCCACAATCCCTTTTCCTCCATTCTCTTTTCAGGATCTTGAGCACGCGTGCATATGCGCCAGGCATGAATTTAAGCCACTGGGTCTAGGACTTGAACTGTGGTCTACTACATGGTAGTCCAGCGACATAGCCATTATGCCAACTGCTGGTCTCTGTATTTTCAGTAGCCAGAGGATTTGTGTGCTCCCCAGGGACAGAAAGATAGGAAGAGAGAGAAAGAATCCTTCAATTGAGTGTGGTTGCACTGCAGTCCCTTCTCCAGTTTTCTATCCCATTGGGATTTGGGGCACATAGTAACACTGCAACCAGTGTGTTTTTCAAGCTGTCAGGGACAGGTGTGGACTACATGGTCAGCCATGTAGAATCTGGATCCCTTAGCTAGTAGGCCACAAGGCTGGTCCTGTGTGTGTTTATTGTTATGTGTGTGTATGTATCAGTACTTACTGGTTTCTCTTGCACAAATAGTCACAAACTATATTACTTCTGCACCTTCCCCCCCCCCCACAATATTTTTTAAAGAGTTACTTATTTAATTTTTTATTTATTACTATTTTAATTTGCTGTAGTCAACAGAGAGAGAGAGGGAGAGAGAAAATGAGAAAGCAAGCTGCTAAGTCTAGGACTTGAACTGTGGTCGGCTCTGTGGTAGTGCCTTAACCGCTATGCCACCTGCTGACCCCAACTTTTTAACTAAAAAATAATTATTTATTATTATTTTAAAATGTGCCTAGAGAGAGAGGGAGGGAAAGTGAGAAAGCAAGCCGCTAGGTCCAGGACTCAAACCATGGACAGCCACTTGGGAGTTCAGTTCCTTAATCACCTTAACCACCACGCCACCTGCTGGCCCCTCCCCCATAACATTTTAACTTAGAGACCATGCACATCCGGTGCGTACTTCCATTCATCAAGATTTTAAGTCTTTTTGTTTCTTTTGTATTTTTTTAATTTGAAAACATGAAGTTGGCCATTTTCTTTAATGTATTATTTTTGGATAGCATTTAAAATTTTATTTTCGAAGCATAATTTACATATAATAAAATGTATACATTAGGTATACAGTTTGACAAATGTGTATATCCATGTATTTTGCACCCTAGTCAAGGTGTTAAATGTTCCCATTATCCTATAAAGCTTTCTCCTGCCTCTTTAATGCTCATCCCTGTAATTACATCTGTTCTGGCCTTCTCAGCAACCACTGGTCTGATTTCTGTCATCATAGATTAATTTTACCTGCTCTAGAACTTGATATAAATGAATCATACAGCCTGTGCACCTTTGTGTCTGACTTCTTTTGCTCAGCCTAATACTTTTGTAAGTCACCATATTAATTGTTTGCAACTTTTTAAAAATTTTATAGTAGAGATTGTTCTATATCAGTTTGTAAAGAGCTTCAGAATTCTCTTTTATAGAATTCTATTTTATATGTCATAATTTATATAGGGTGAGTATTTGGGTTGTTCTGGTCTGAAAGTTGGTGTCCTCCAAGATGTATGTTGAAACTTAATCCCCAATGTGCTGGTTATTAAATTAAGGGGTAGAATCTTTAGGAGAGGGCTAGCTTATGATGGCAGAGCCCTTTTAGATGGGACTCGTGCTCTTAAAAAGAGCTTTGGACCAACTCCTGGGGTGCAGTGGTAAACACAACGCTTCACAAGGCTAAGGCCACGTGAGATGGTTCCAGGTTTATGTTCTGAGGCCTCCTGGTACACTGGGTGTATGAATGTGTGCTCATGATTCTGGGTGGCTTAGGCTGGGGTGGATTGTGGCATAATGATTCTGTTGGTGCTTGTCTCTCTTTCTTCCTCCTCCTTCCAATCTGTCTCTGAAGAAGTAAACTTAAAAATAAAAAAAAAGAAGGAAAAGACAAAAATAAAAGAGGCTAAGGGAGCTTAGTTGTTTCCTTTGCCATATGAGGACACACGGCAGACACCATCTGTGGGTAGTGGGCTCTAACCAGGCACAGAATCAGTTGACACCTTGATCTTGGATTTCCCAACCTCTAGAACTTACTATTTTTTAAAAGAATTATTTACTTAATTTTATTTATTATTATTATTTAATTTGCTATAGGGCACATTTACTTACCAGAGAGAGAGAGAAGTGAGAAAGCAAGCTGCCAGGTCTGGGACTTGAACTGTGGTTGGCCATGTGGGAATCCAGTGCCTTAGCCACTATGCCACTTGCTAGCCCACCTCTAGAACTTTTTTTTTTTAAAGAGAGATTTTTTACTATAGGGTGCTTGTGCTCGCTGGGAAGACAGAGATAGAGAGAGAGACAAAGACAGAGAAAGTAAGAAATCATCCATGCCACAATCCCTTCTCCATTCTTCTCTCAGGATTTTGGATGCATATGCATGCCCAGCTTGAGTTTCAAACCTCCAGATCTGGGAATTGAACCACGGTCAACCATGTGGGAGTCCAGTACCTTAACCACCATGCCATCTGCTGGCCCCTACCTCTAGAACTTTTAAGTAAGCATTTTCTGGGTTAAGAAATTACCTAGCATAAGGTATTTAGTTATAGCAGCCCAAACAGATTTAGGTAGTTGTTTCCAGTCTTTTGCTTTTACAAAGAGTGCTACTTCAGTGAATAATCTTTAATGTGTATTGTTTTTGATGTGAGTACTTCTAAAGGAAAAATTCTTAAATGTGAAACTATGGTACCAGCATGCAGCATGGTGATTAATGTGCCTGGATTCCCACATGGCCAATCATGGTTCAAGTCTTGGACCCAGTGGCTTGAAAATCACACCAGACGTGCATGCCTAAGATCCTGAGAGGCATATGGAGGAGAAAAGATTGCAGTGTGGCCATCCCCCAGGGGGGTGATTTCTCACTTTCCCTCTCTCTATACCTGTCCATCTTTTTCCTCTCTGGCGAGTACACATGCTCTATGACAAAAACCTAGCAAACAGGAAAAAAAAAAGTGAAACTATGAGGTTGAAAGCTATATGCACTTATAATCTTAATCAATATTGCTAAGATAAAATGAAATCTTAAATATAAACCTAGTTTACAGAAAAATGGAGCTAATCTGCAGAACAGATGGAAAGCCTAGAGCTTTATTCTCCCACAGCTTCTGAGGTACTTCTGTAGAGCTTGGCTCCTTCTAGTACAGTTTGAAAATCACATGTCTTTGTGATGAAGAAACAATAATTACTGCTATATATATATTTTTAATTTAAGTTAACTACTAAATGTGAGTATATTACAATGGGCATTGGTTTAATACTTTGCTATAAAAATATAAAACCTTGAGTGAGCTTTTTAAAATCACAGTGGTAGTTGGTTCCACTTCTGTTTACTGATAATAAAACTGTTCAATGAAAGAGTTATTGCTCTCATTCCTGGAATAATTATTGACTTGATGGGTCCTGAGAGTGTTTTTGATTAGGTCTCATTCAGTTCCCTTGCCTGTATAGATGAATTAATAGTATATCTGAGTTATGTATAATTTTTTTATTTTAAATCCTCTGAAAGGAGTTTTTGCAAGTTGTAACAATATCTTTATGACTCTTTTGCTGTTGAAGTACTGCCCTGGAGGAGAGCTGTTTGATTACATAATTTCCCAGGATCGCCTATCAGAAGAGGAGGCCCGAGTTGTCTTCCGTCAGATAGTATCTGCAGTTGCTTATGTGCACAGCCAGGGCTACGCTCACAGGGACCTCAAACCAGTAAGTGACTGCTTCACAGTTAGATGTTTACGTGAGAGCTCAATGTCATTTACTGAATACATGTTATTTTTAGGTTTCCATATGTTCCATTTAGGAGTCTATTTTAGTTTTGCTTTTTTTTGTTTGTTTGTTTCCAGACAGAATTTGTCACGTTGTCTTTTTCCTTCTATACTTTTTTTACTTTTAATAGGTTTTTTGGGTAGATTAGCATTTTATTTATATGTTGGTTGCATGTGACATAAATGTTTTTATAATCAGGATTTTAATCTCTAGGGAAGAAGGGTGTAGAGTATTTTCTTTGAAAATACTGTGTCTTTGAGTGTTTTCATTCAGTGTTCTTTTCCTAACCCCATATTCCCCATATTCCTTTATTTATTTATTTATTTTTGAGAGAGATTTTTGCTATAGAGTGTATGTGGTTGTCAGAGAGACAGACAGAAAGTAAGAAATCACTCCCTAGGGAGAACAGCCATTCCACAATCCCTTTTCCTCCAATCTCCTCTTGGGATTTTGGGGATGTATACACCACGTGCCTGGTGTGAATTTTAAGTCCTGCCAGGTTTGGGACTCGAACCACAGTCAACTATGTAGGAATCTAGCCATATAACTATTATGCTACCTCGTGGTTCCCCCTCCCCCTTTTTTTAAATTTTGTCAGAGGGTGCAAGTGCTTACCAGAGAGAAACAGGAGACTGAGGGACAGGGAGGGTTGAGAAATAACTCCTGATTGGGTATAGTCGTGCCACAATCCCTTCTGTCTCATCTCTCCATTTTTTTAGGATTTTGGGCATGCACGCACACATGCCCAACATGTTTCTAAAGCTGTTGGATTGAGGGTTTGAACTGTGCCATTGGCTATGTGGGATCTAGCTGCTTCAAGCACCATGCCACGGGTTGGCCCCTTTTTTATTTTAATTCCTTATTTCTCTGGAGGGAATAGTTTAGTGAAATTGACAGATTCTACATTTTTAATTTTTAGTTTTTAAATTTAAATTTAAGGCAGAGTCTTGCAGTGTTACAGTCCTCTTGCCTCAGCCTCCCGAGTAGCTGTGACCTTGGTGCCTGGCTTTTAGGGTTGGCAGAAAATCAAACCTGGGCCTCCCAAGTGGCCTCAGCCTACCAAACATTATGGTTAACATTAAAATAAAAATGTAAATACTATTAAGTCTTCAGGCTCTGACTAGTGTGGGTGATGGTGAGTGTTGATTTAAATGTTACATCATATAAAAATCAGGGGCCTGGAATTGGTCTGAGAAGATACCATAGTTATTTTTATCAGTTCTTATCTATTGATACCCAGCTCTTCAATTTGAGCTCACTCTTTTGATTTAAACTTGTCTTTGGCACAAAGTGTGTTTGCTTTTAGTTGATCCTCAGAGCACCAAAGAGAAAATGGTTTATACTATTGTGTCTTGAGAGTAACTTTTCAACATTCATCCTATTTACCCTTCTATGCTTCTTGTTATTTGATTAGCTTTTGGTAATTTTTTTTTTTTTTTTGGAGGATTCTAAAACAAACTTTATTTTAAAAATATCTTACTGTAAAACATAAGTCTAATAGGAGTATTACCAAAATTTTAAACCACTAATTTATAAAATGAAAATAATTACTTCTCTGTATGAAGCCAATTCTGGATCCTCCAAATTAATTTTTTTCTGCTTTACCTGCATCATTTCACCATTCACTAAAATCTCCAATTTGTCTTGACTGATTTTAAATCAGTTAAAAAGCAGAGCAAAACTTATTACATCAAATGTTTCTTCCACTTCTACTTAAACAAGGGTGCAGCCAGAGCTTTATTATTCAACATCATGGCAGGAAAAACTATTGTAATGCATATGGTCTTATACCTAGATGTGCTTCTGATGAGAAGAGCACAATAGGGCCATAGATAATGGACATATAGAACTTCAACCTGAAACCCAGTTCTGCCACTACAAGTAAATTAGGTGGAAAGTTTTAGCATCCATTGGATCAAGATCCATTGATCCCCCTCACTGGGTGGTTAGGGGGATACAATGAGATAATACAGGCATAGCACCCAGCTAGCACATCCCTAAAACATACATAGTATAAGCATGTACTTTATATGCTACACAATTCCTAAATGGTAGTGAATCAAAAAACAACCATGGTCAGCCATGTGGGAGTCCAGCGCTCCTAACCACCACGCTACCTGCTGGCCCCAACCAAGACTTTTAATATAAACAACCTTAAATCATTTTTAGAAGTGGCTAAAAGTGGGATTTGGTATAAGGAAGTCTATATACAGTTATCAAAATATTTTTTTCTCTAGGAAAATTTGTTGTTTGATGAATGTCATAAATTAAAGCTGATTGACTTTGGTCTCTGTGCAAAACCCAAGGTAAGTGCACAAGTAAAAAGGTATTCATTTCCTTTGTTAATATACCCTTTTTTTTTTTTTTTTTTTTTGAGAGGTTTTTGCTATAGGATGTGTGCGCTTGCCAGACAGACAGAGAGAGACAGAAAGCGAGAAATCACCCCCCAGGGGAGATGGTTACACCGCAATCCCTTCTCCTCCATTCTCCTCTCGGGATCTTGGGCACACATGCACACGTGCCCGGCGTGAGTTTAAGCCACCATGTCCAGGACGCAAACCACGGTCGACTGCGTGGGAGTCCAGCGACATAGCCATTACGCTAACGGCTGGTCCCGTTAATATACCTCTTGATGTATTATCTTGCACTGATTTCCATGTACTCTTTTTTAAAAAGTTTCTTTCTTCCATGAGAGAGAGACAGAGCACCCCAATAGGGGAGTCATACTGTGATGCATCCCCAACACCCCCAACCAGCCAGGATCATGAGCATACATGTGTGCATGTGCCTGATGTGTACAGGGAGACCTCAGGATACAACTCTGGGACCTTCCCATGTGCTTTTAGCATTGTGGCACATTGTGTTACTGCTGTGCACAGTGGCTGGCACACCAGTCTTTGCTGAGCCTGGTTGCATCCATGATAAGGATATTAAATTTCATCATTGCATGGATAATTTTTATTTTTATTTTTAAATTTTAAAATTTTTACCATAGGGCACATATGCTTGCTGGAGTTGGAGAGAGAGAGAAAGAGAAAGTGAGACATCATCCCTTGGGTGGATGGCCATGCTGCAGTTCCTTCTTCATTCTCCTCTCAGGATTTTGGGCATGTATACACATGTGCCCAGCATGTTTGTCAAGCTGCCAGGTTCGGAACTCAGACTGTGTAGTTGGGCATGTGGGTTCTAGCCACTGTAACTACCGTGCCACCACTAGACCAGTGATTTTTGTTTTTTAAGTTTATTTATGTTTTAAAGAGTGAGAAAGAATCATAGAGATAGCATTTCAACAGGTCATGGGCATGCACATGCCCAGTTTACTCAAGATGGTGTCCAGATGTGAATCTAGAACCTTCTCATGTGGGTCATCCTTGCAGATGCTGTGCCACTATCTGGCTCAGCATTAGTAATTTTAGTAAGTTCTCTAGATAATTCTAATATGTAGCCATGATCGAGAGCTATTTTTCTATGTCCTGGGTTGGTCCTGCTAAAGACTCCAAGGATATGCTGTGGGAGCATTTTCAGTGCCTAGGTGACGTTGAGGCCCCTATAGCATGAATACAGAAGTGACCGTATGCCTGCAGTTTGAGCATGTTGTCACTAGATGGTGCCTTTGTTCATTTAGATAGGAGTTAATTCAGTGCAAATCTAGTCTTTGTTATCTAAATGATTATCTAACTAATAATTTGGTACATTTTGAGAGACAGTCATCTTTCCTTATAAAAAAAGGAAAAAGCCCATAGGCATTTCTAAATCTATACTGTTATGTTTCCTTACTTCACATTCCATAGTTAAGTACTGCTGTTCTCCGATGTAACTTCGTTTTGAGGTGACTTTGAACTTTGTACCTCTGCAGTCTACAGCAGATCTCCTGTGTGGCTGCCTGTTCGAGGCTTCCTCCTGAGTTCTCTAATGATGGTACACACAGTCTCTAAAATTGAGCTGTCTACACTCATTAAGAATTTAGAAATTGCAGGCTTGTCTCAGGCCTGTAGTCCCATGATTATTTCCTGCCCCAATCAAAATTAGCTAGGTGCAGCAAACTGATTATGCCTCTTCAGCTCAATGTCTGACTCTTTCTGGTTCTCCTCTGCCTCCCTTGACTCTTCAGAGGTGATCAGTGGAGCCTTGTGTCTGGGAACCAAATGCTGGGAGATAGTTTTTGTTTGTTTGTTTGTTTTGACTGGCAGACACAAAAAGATAAATCATACTTAGAACAGAGAAACTGGTGTTTAAGTCATGTTCACCACTGGCCGCAGTGGGGAATGTTTGTGACAGACTTCGTTAGCCTTTATTTATGCCTACCACATCTTGAACTCACACAGAAACTGTCCAAGAAAGTGAGGATCGCCTGGGAGAGAATCGTCTCAGCCTTCTGCTGAGGAGCTCACTCTGGGCACTTTATGTCATGTGTAAAAGAAATCTCACAGTTTCACAAGTCTTTTGTCAGCTATAGAACTATACAGTGTTGGGCAGTAGTATCCTTTTTCTTTTTAAGAATTATTTTATTTAACTGTATTTATTTATTTTAATTTGACCAAAAAAGAGGGGAGAGAGAGAGAGAGAGACATAGAGAAAGTGAAAAAGCAAGCCACCAGGTCTGGGACTTGAACCACGGTCGTCCCTGTGGGAGTCCAGCACCCTTAACCACCACACTACCTGCTGGCCCCCAGTAGTATAATTTCTGTTTTTTCTTAGTGTTTTCATAGGAGGACATAGAAAGATGAGCAGATTTATCATTCTAATAGATCTGGAAGTTAAGGTGGCGATTTGTCTTATAATTGAGTTTAGAAAACAGACTCTCAAGGCATTGTTGTGTGTACCACATTGCTTGCATCTCTCTAACGAAAAGTAGTTCTTTTCTATTTGTAAAGATTTGATATTGGAGGGCCAGCCCTGAGCCTACTGCTTCAGGGAGCCAGATCCCATGTGCCCGACTGCAGTTTGAATCCTAGCCCCAGTAACTTGAGAAAATGTGCTACATGCGCATGGCCAAAATGCTGACAGGATGGAAAAATAGATTGTTATGCGACCACATTCCATAGGGAAGTATTTTCTCTATCTCCCTCTGTCCCTGGCAAACTCGTGCACATGTTGGCAATTAAAAAAAAAAGATTTACTATTGGAGGTAGAGTCTAGTAAAGAAATAATCCTTTTATTTTTTTTTTTTAGAGAGGTTTTTTTGCTATAAGGTACGTGTGCTCACCAGAAAGACAGAGACAGACAGAGAGACAGAAAGCAAGAAATCACCCCCCAAGGGGGGATGGCCATGCCGCAATCCCTTCTTTTGCATTGTCCTCTCGGGATCTTGGGCACACACGCACACGTGCCCAACGTGAGTTTAAGCCACTGGGTCTGGGACTCGAACTGCAGTCAACTAAATGAGTGTCCAGCGACATAGCCATTACGCCAACTGCTGGTCCCAGAAATAATTTTTTCTTTGAGTGCTTGGAGGTGGGAAGATATGGTGCTTGGAAGTATGCTTGGCTGATTACTATGTGAATGGTTTCTAGGGAAGTCTGAACCTGACTTGATTGAGCCAGAGAGGGAAAAGATTTTGTTTATGCCAAGTTGAATCAGTATTGAAAATCCAGAGAAGCAGAGACTGCACGTGCGTGCATGCATGTATACAGAATATTTGTTTGTCTGCAGAAATCATTGTTATTTCTCAAATTCTTTTTTAAAAGAGTTATTTATTAACAATTTTAAAATTTAAATTTATTTTAATTTGACCAGAGAGGGACAGAGAGAGAGAGAAAGAGAGAGAGAGAGAGAGAGAGAGAGAGAGAAAGTGAGAAAGCAAGCCGCCAGGTCCGAACTCAAACTGTAGTTGGCCATGTGGGAGTCCAGTGCTCTTAACCACCATGCCACCTGCTGGCCCCAATTTTTAAATTGTTTATTATTATTCTTTAATTTGACTGGAGAGAGAGAGATGAGAGAGGGTGAGTGAGAAAGCAAGCTGCCAGGTCTCGGACTCGAACCTTGGTCAGCCTTATAGGAGTCCAGCATCTTAACCATGATGTCACCTACCAGCCTCGAAAGTCTCTTATGATTTGGGGTAGTTCAACTAGCTTCTCTTTGCTTATGCTCAAACAATGTTTAGCAAGGTTTAACTCTCTTAAGGGCTTTAATAAGTTTTGTTTTTATCTTATTGACAGGGTAACAAGGATTACCATCTGCAGACATGCTGTGGGAGCCTTGCTTATGCAGCACCTGAATTGATACAGGGCAAATCATATCTTGGATCAGAGGTAATTATTCATTGATTAAGTTACTATATAATAACATACATTTGTTGGTGACCTGTAGTAAGTTAGGCATGGTACCATGGGAATATAATAACCCAAGAAATCATCTTTTATTTATTTATTTTAAGGTTTTTTATTTCTTTTTTTTTTTTTTGGAGAGATTTTCACTGTAGGGCGCGTGTGCTCGCCAGACAGACAGAGAGAGACATAGAGACAGAAAGCGAGAAATCACCCCCCAGGGGGGATGGTCACGCCGCAATCCCTTCTCCTCCATTCTCCTCTCGGGATCTTGGGCACGCACGCACACGTGCCTGGCGTGAGTTTTAAGCCACCGGGTCCGGGACACGAACCACGGTCAACTACGTGGGAGTCCAGCGACATAGCCATTATGCTAATTGCTGGTTCCCGTTTTTTTTATTTCTTTAGAATGAGAGAGAACGAGAGAGTGTGTCAGGTCTTGTCGATAGGGTCCCATCATACCGCAGTCTGCTCCCCAGCTTTCCGGCCAGCCAGGATCACAGTTGCACTCTTGGTGTGCTTTAGGTCAAGCATGGAGCCACATTCCAGTCTTCTATATGGCTACAGCATCATAGAGTAGCATGCCACCGTAGCTGGGCCAAGAAATAATCTTGTTGAGCAAAGAGTTTAGGTTATTTGGACGGTGAGATACATGCACTAATAGGATGAATGCTTTGCAATAAGTACGAAACAATAATATACTTATGAAGCAGAGTTATACTTCTGGTGTCCTTGTTGTGGCTGCTTTTGTATTGAAGAGTGCTGTAGGTGAGGCTCAGTTGTCAGAGGTGCTGGTTGGCACAGTAAAAACCTGTATTTTGCCTATGCCTGGGCAAAAGTTCAATGTAGGACTCCAGGATCAGAAGCCCTGGACTTTGCCTGCTTTTTACTCCATATTTCAAGCTAGTCAGCGCCTCCCATTCTCTGGAGTACTAGTTTTGTTGATTTGTCATAAAGCTAAAAAATAACTTAGGCATCAAAAACGCAGAAGGTGTTGAATTTAACAGATGTCTTCAGGGTATCTCCAAATCTTTCTTTCTTTTTTTAATAATTAATGTGGTTTATTTCTTTTTTTAAAAGTTATTTATTTAATTTCATTTGTTATTATTATTTTTTAATTTGACGAGAGAGAGAAAGAGAAAGGGAAAGTGAGAAAGCAAGCCATCAGGTTCAGAACTCAAACCACAGTCACTCATGTGGGAATGCAGCACCCTTAACCACCACACTGCTTGCTGACCCCCCCAATGTGGTTTATTTCTAAGCATGAATATGAGTGAACAGCCTGGAGGAGGCAAGTGCTCAGAAATGGGGGTTCCTTTTATTTGGTTTTGACAATGAGAGATAAAGTTTGGAATTTAGTGAAAAGTGTTTCCGTTGGTCTGGCCCAAAAAGGCAGGACATCTGGAAGCAGGGACTTACAAGTTATAGGTAGGTTTTATAGTTAATAAGGTTGGTGATTGGAAAGGAAGGTCTTTGTCTCAGGAAGAGATTTCTCCATTTCTTCTTTTAATATGTTCTTGTACAGTGTGATCCTCTGGGAGGGGAACATCACAGGTAGTGGCTGGTCCTGATTTTATTTGCTTACAGAACCAACTTTTCTTGTGGATTTTCTTTTGGGACTAGTGTTATGTGGAAGAAACTGTGAGAAATATCAGGTTACTTAATTCATACTGTGAAAAGATGGAAACTTGTTTTGGGCAACTTTTTATTTTGATATAATCCCAAACTTACAGAATAGTGCAAAAATAGAACAAGAAATTGATCTTTTTTTACTCATATTTACATTTTTTTCTATTTGTTTTATCATTCTGTTTTCATATATATATATATTTAATAATTATATGTATATATATATACACACACATATGAATATTATTTCAAACCATAAGAGAGTAAGCTAGAAGCATCATATCCCTTTATCACTAAATGTTTATATTTCCTAAAAGGAAGAATTTTTTTAATTTTAAAGAATTATTTATTTAATTTCATTTGCCACAGGGCGCATGCTCTCACCAGAGAGAGAAAGAGAGGAAGAGAGAAGGAGAGGGGGAGAGAGAAAGAGAGAGAGAGAGAGAGTGAGTGAGAAAGCAAGCTGCCAGTTCTGGGACTAGAGCCATGACTGGCTATGTGGGAGTCTAGCACCTTAACCACCATACCACCTGCTGACCCCAGAAGCTTTTCTTTTATAACCACACTTTAGTTATCTAATCCACAGTCCTTACTCAAATGGTTTTACTTATACCTGTAACATCCTTTATAGCTTTATTCCCATAACCATACCCCCAATCCAGGATTTAGTTCAGGATCACACTTAGCATTTAGGTTTTTATAATTTTTTATTCTTTTTCCACATTTTATTGATTCACAGAATACCTTAAACTAAAAATATGGACAAAGCTAGAATCTAGTGACAAGTGCACTGTGATTTTCTATTGAAATATTTTTTAAAAAATTAATTAATTTACATTCATTCCCTGAGCATCGTTACAGCATATAAAATGTGGTTTCCCATCCAGAATATACTGCATAATGGCTTAGTCATACACGTTATTGTCAGTAATTTTCCATTTCTAGTTTCATATGTATTTTTATGTATATTATATATTTTACCCCTATTTCTCACCCTCTGCCATTTCCTACCCTCCTCCCACACTATCTCAGGTGTCTACAGCTGTTTTCCATCCGTTTTTCCCCCTCACATTTTATTGAGTTACAACATTTCTTAAATAATCTAACTACTTTCAGTAGCAAGTTCAGTTGGTATATATATATATATCTGTGAATACATGTCTGACTTTCGGTGTGAAACATTGAGTAGAATGAATAAACCATAAGGTAGTTACCTGACTGAGGTCATTAAATAGATATTTTTAAATATATTTGTTTTTCCCCCTCACATTTTATTGAGTTACAACATTTCTTAAATAATCTAACTACTTTCAGTAGCAAGTTCAGTTGGTATATATATATATATCTGTGAATACATGTCTGACTTTCGGTGTGAAACATTGAGTAGAATGAATAAACCATAAGGTAGTTACCTGACTGAGGTCATTAAATAGATATTTTTAAATATATTTTTTAATTTCAAGAAAAGCAGTTTTAGCTTTAATAAATCAAAGAAATGTTAAGGAACTTTGCTTAAAACGTAAAGCCAGGGAACAGGTTAGGATTCTGTTCAAATAGTAGGTACATGAACCTGTCGGCAGCTCAAGACAGGACAAAAATCCTTAAAACCAGACAACAAAGCCTAGAAGAAAATCTGCAATGTGTTAGTCAAAAGTTGTAAAATTCTATTTTTTTTTTT